CAACCTAAGCCAGGAGTCCGGACACCGACGTGAGTAACTGGAGACACAGAGGAGTTTGTCTGTCATTTTCGTCGATTTTTCTTGTTTATGGTGTAAGCAGTTGATGATTTCGTCCTCACAGTGAATGGGAAGAAGAGAGAGGAGAGGAATCCGTGAGAAAAGCGGGGGTTAAAGGTGAAAGAAGAGGGGAAGAGAGAACGAGAGAGAGATCATCATCAGCTGCCATCTGTCTGTCTGTCTGTCTGTCTGTCTTCTCAGGTAAGTGTCACAAAAAGCAATAACAAAAATACGGGAATAAACGAATAAACCGATCACTATGTCAGCAAGGAAAGTAATGGAGAACCAGTTTCTTTTTCAAGGAAGAAAATTAACTTGCAAATTTCGGGAATTCTTAGAGTGTCGTTCGTGTCAAGAAAAGGAGTTTCTTTTCGTTTCTTAATAAGAGTGTCGGGGAGGCTTCTCGCTTTATTTATTTATTTATCATCTTTTAGGCGATATTATATTTATCAAGTGACAACATTAGGTATCTTTGTGCATAGGGCAGGTTGATAGATGTTCTGAACACAGTAGAAAAAGGGTTATATCTGCATGTCTTTCTGTCTATTTATATACCAGGCCATCTATCTGTCAAAGAATCTATCTTTTTATCTACATTCTCACTGGGCATCATTGAAAACTGGGTATATGGAGAGAGAGAGATCTCCTTGGGAAAATATATTGACTGGAAAATTTAAGCATACCTCATAGTAAGCAGGTGGAATTAAGCTGATTGTAAAAGAGGAGAGAATCTATAATGGAGGGAAAGAGTTGACCCCATAGAACGGGGAAAATTGCGGGGAATTCTGCGATTCATGTTTTTGGGAACACCACTGCTTTGGAGAGGTTTAGTTTATGTAGGTCACGTTTGATATCGAAGCATCAACTGGTGTGTGTACCTTTATTTTTATAAGATTTGGTACTTTATTGTTGATTATTCAGTTTTATTACATGGGTGTGTAAGTGTCAAGGAGCTAATTGAAAATTAATGTGAGTTTTTCATAAGTCGTTGCCAGGACTGTGTATTCTGGCAAGAAAGGGCGTATACTATCTCCTTATTTAATGATAAATGCCAGTGAGACCTATATTCTCTGTCTAGCCTAAATGTGAATGTTCGACTTTTGTTGTCCACTGCCTGAAGGTGGCCTCTGAGTCACTGTGGATACCCTCATTAGAGTCTAATTGTGATATTATCCTTCATTTATACAAATTAATTTAGATGGCAATGAGAATCATTTGGTACCTATTTTAAGATAGTATTGCTTATATTTCAATATATCAGATCTTAGTCATTGACTTTACTGTTTTTTTTTCAAATATTTTGAAAATCATTTAAATGAATAGAAACTTGAGGCTAATATTACTAAGAGTGATGTACAGAAATAGAGGGAAATGGACACCTCCATATTATACAGTCATAAACAGCACAACTGCTGCAACCTTATATGTATTGTGAAATGATGAAACTCATTGCTGTATATAACCACCAAGAGACTGAGTCCAAAACACCTTTATGCAGCGCAGACTTCTTAAAGTCTGTTTTCCAAAAGTTGGCTTGAAGTGCTAATAAAGGACTTGTCCCCCTGTCTAGGGAATAGATAGAAGGTAGAAAAGATTAGGGGTTTTAGGTTTGCAGGATACCTTGGTTTTGGAGGGTGTGTCGCTCTCGATAACAAATACCAAACTACAGAAACTTCACCGAAGATATACACTCTAGATAATAGTGCCTTGAGAACATGTACATATACTTTTCACTGTAGTTTTCTTTTGTGAATTTGGTTTGCACATACTTGTAGTTGGCGCCACAAGTGCCAGCCATCCAAGGAACCCATTAGTAGGCCAAGTGACCAGTTTTTGGGAAAACTTTTTTTTTTTTTAATGCTATTAACCTGTTTGAACGCTCATGTGTGGTATCAAGACTCCATGCCTCTTCTTTGCTATGCTGTTAGATCTCATGTGTACTCACTATTTGCTTTTTGGCCATTTTCCAAGGTCAGCATTTTTCATTTGGTATGCTGTATGAAGATTATAATAAACCTTTTGTTGAGCAGACTCTATATTACCTCTCCAGGTAGTTTACATCTCTCTGCAATAACAGTGACACTAAGTATCATTGCATTATTTGTGTTATTTTTATTAATATTTTCATAATATTCAATTTTATGTAACATACCCTGTGCTACTGGTCACATTGGGTCGGGACGAGTTCCTTCCCATGGAAATAATGTCCTCACAGGAACTGGCACTCTGCCAGGCATGGCTCACAGATGGTACATTTTACCCTTATTTACAGATGGAAAGGATATAAGAATCCCTTCCTGAATTCCCACTTAGTCTAATCTCCCTTCAAAAGCTTTGTGCACTCACAGAAAGATGTATCTATCGCCACATAACACATTTATATCACCCCGGCTTTGCCCAGATTTTTTTCCATAATGACACATTCCCACCATCTTATTTATTCATTATTATTATTATTATTATTAGTTGTAATATTATTATTAGTTAGTAGTATAGTATTATTATTTTTATTTTTATTTTTTTTTCATTTTATTTATTTTTTTTTTTTTTGTGTGTGTGTGTCATTTTACAGTATTCTGATAATATTTTGTGTCATCAATGTCCCAGGGGAATTATCTCAATAAATGGCAAATTTGTACATTTGCTGGTTTGTGAAAACACCAACGAGTTATTATGGATATTATTATTATTGTTGATATTGTGATTACTATAATGTCATTAATACTAATAACCACAAAATTGGAGGAATCTTTCCAAAAATCAAGGAAAAAGGTAAACAGGTGAGATAAGTAGGACTAGGAATTGATTCCTTGGTGGTTAAACACTTACATAGTACTCTATGTATAAAGACAGTAAGTAATAATAATGATGATGATAGTAATAGTAATAGTGATAGTATCTGTAATAGTAATAGTTGTAATAATAATAATAGTAATAATAATAATAATAATAATAATAATAATAATAATAATGATAATTATAGTGATAATAATAATAAAAATGATAATAAGAGTGATGACAATAATAGTAATAATAATAATGAAAATGATAAAAAACTATAGGCATGGCATGCATATTTGCCAGCCCAGTATCAGTGGGTTAAAGCCAGCATGCCTTTGAAGCATTTTATTTGGTAATTATGGTCTCAGACTTACGTTTACTAGTATAGGCAAGGTGAACTGTAGATGGGAATGATCAGATGAATATTGATATTTTTCTGCTGTGGTATAGCTTTTGCATATTGAAAGTAAATCTAGATAAACTTAGTGAGAGATGTGGTCAACCAATAATCATTAATGAAGGTCCCAGTTTTGATTTACTTTTTTTAATTATTATTAGATTAGGAGAATGGTGTTCAGTATACATGAGTTAGAATTAACTTATCTATTGATTCCTGTTTTGTATATGCATCCATAATTGTATTTAAAACATTTATATTGGATGCCTGATGGTGATATCGTTTTTTGTGTAAATTCTGATTAGGAGCACTCTATTGATAATTTTTTCAGAGAATTAACGATTTTGATGAAGTGTTGGGTTGTGCCATTCAGAATTTTATCATCATTATAGTTTCTCAGAATCAATCATATTAAAAACTATATCCCAAAAGTTTCAGCCCCAGTTTTATGGAAAAAGCTATTATTATTATTATTATTATTATTTCCTTAATTTTCATGCAAGTTAATCTGTTAGCTTGAGTTAGAGGATTATTTTACCTTATTTACTGTTGAAATCATTAATCTTGATAGAACTTTTAGGAAGCGGGTAGTAGAAATTTGAAGACTAGAAAAAATACGGCAATGAAATTGTGAATTATTGTAACTGCTTCACTTCATATGAGTGCACCTGATCTTTCGATAATTGATTTCCATGTTCACATCCTTCTGCTGTGTCCTGACAAGTTTGTTTTTGGTTTTGCATGTTAACTTACCCTTCTAGTTTTATTGTTACTACATACCAGTCAACATAAAAGATGAACTTCTTTGATTGGAAAATATATGAATGGCATCAAGTGCATAAGAAAGAAAACAGAATTCTTAAGTGAATGAATATCTCCATGAACTAGCATGTATCAGGCTGGCTGTTTCGGGCAGTGAGAAAGAGTGGATTTCTTTAATGATGATGTGCAGATGCCAAAGTAGACAGCTATTATGTTTTAAAGAATGATAACTTCTAAAAACAATGACAATTAACTAACAAACTCTCCAATAAGAGCAGTAGTTTTACAATGAAGGTCAGGGAGGCAAGGTACCTTGAGGGGCCTCCTAGGTTTGAGCAAAAAAAAATGTGTGACAAAATAAAAACATTTCCTTCAATGAATGTGAACAAATTATTATTTTCATCTGTACAAAAACCTTTATGATTAAAGAGTATGAATAGGCATCCTATGGAGAGGCCATAGAGGGACAGTAATAAGCATTATCACTTTTCAGGGATCACATGAGGGACAATAACTCCCCCCCCCCAGACTTGGGGAAAAATAAATAGAAGGAAAAAAAAAACAAAAACAAGGGAGAGGCCATAGAGGGACAGTAATAAGCATTATCACTTTTCAGGGATCACATGAGGTGAATGGTTGAATAACTGTATATCACAGAGATATCAAAGCAAAAGTGGTAAAATCTGTTTTGTCATCATACTGCACCTCCGAGAATCCTTGTAATTATCACTTTTCTAGACCTTCCAGGATGTGATTCACATACAATTTTTGCCTTGTCATCCCATATTAATTTAACAGAATTTTGGAGAAACTATTTTTGTTGGTGATGTCAAGAACTTTTTCACACTTTTTGTTGTTACTTATTTTATTTTTGTCTGGAAATCAGTTGTTATGAAGCTTATTACTGTTTGGTTTGAGATAACTAAGTGTTTTATTAAAATATTTGATTATATAAAAGAGTAGTTTACGACTTTTAGAAGTGCATATGATTGTCAAAAAGGGACATAGATGGTGAATTAGACATGTTGCAAATGTACAGGCTTTGTTGCGAATATCCCCCCCCCCCTCCATCCTTTTCCTTTTTTCTTTTAACATGAACCGAGAAATGAGAAAATGTTGTGTGTGTTTTTTGGATACAATTAGATTTTTATATTTCATATTTATATGCATGATTTAGTTAAGGATGTAATATTTTTCTTCCTGTTTTTTCTTTCTTTCTTTTGCAACACCTTTAGAAGATCTAACTGGATTGTGATCATGTTTTTTCTTTCAAAGGATTCCGTATATATATATTTTTTTCTTAGAGTATTAGATATATTTGTATTTTTATGAATCAGTTGCATGACAGCTTCCATATATGTAGAAATTACTCCTATAAGTTAATATATGACTTACTTTTACTTAAAAAAGTGGAGTAACATTTTTGGAAGATTTTCTTTAATAAAATTCATTTCCTTGGAGCAGTAGAAAAGAAAAAAAATGATTGCCTTCATTTACAAACAACGATTTTTACATGTTTTTTTCCCCAGAAATATCCCTGGATCATATGAAATTCAATATTTTATTAATACATGTAGATCAATAAATAAGCAAAGATAGCATGGAGGTTTGCATATAATATTACCAAGAATAACTTTTGAGGAGGACTGTTGCAAAAATCCAGGAAGCCATTATTGCTTTGATACTGTTGAGATATTGATTCGATGCAATTTCATGGTTATTATTGTGAATGATTTGCATTAGTGAAAATTTTGAATTATATGTTTCCTAAAAATATGAAAGGAATACAAGGAAGAGACGGGGAAAAATTGATTCATGATATGTAAAACATAAGTACTGGATTCAATTTCTACCATGTTCTTTGAATTCATTTGGTCTTTCTCTCCTGATAATTATTTTAAACTCTCAAATTCGGAGTAGAGCTAAGACTTTATCTGTGGATATGTTCAAGAATTCAGGTATTTTACTGCACAAAGTATGAAGGATATATCTCTCAATTTTTACCAGATTAATTCTAAGAAATTGCCTTTGAAAGTGCCTGTTATGTTCTGTGATCATGATTGAGTCTTGTATGCATGAAATTTAATAGCTCGCGTAATTTGGTATTTAAATTCTCAACAGCTTCAATTTATAACAACAAAGTGCTGAGGCTTGTAATAAACAGTTGATGTATGATACCCTCTTTAGCGTGTTAAAGTTTCGTATTAGAAGCCTTTCCTTTGATCCGTGATTGATGTGATGGTTCTTTTATGTTTTCTTATTTTAGCTCTACTAATTATCCTGTCAGATGGCAGTATTACTTTGTGCATGTTCGTTCTGAGTAACTTTGCCTTGTGTGATTTATTGCATGTTTAACCCAATGCAGCCGGAAAAATGTTGTGTTCACTTTAGTTTTGTTTTGTTAAATGTTTCTGCACATAGACAGCTCTGCCAGTGCTTAGCCACAAAGGAGTCAATTAGTAGATCTTGTGACCTCACCTTTCTTTGAAATAGTGGGAAAATGTTTTTTTCAATAATGGTATCAGTATTGATACTGTTATTTTTGTTATTATTATAGATACTATATTGTTACTGACATTGCTAACTGCAGTATTAAATACTAGAAAATATTATAAAAAATCAAGAAAAAGTATAAACAGGTGAGACAGTTACTTCTTGTAACTGGCTCATTGGTGACCTAGTACTTGTGGAGGCATCTATATGTAAAAACAGTTACTGAATTAAATACACAGTGGGCCATGCATGTACGCACATGCCCTCCCTGTTGGCATTTGGGTAAGAAATAGGTATGCCTGAAAAATATTGCATGTATTCAGCAAAACTACTTAAACTATATTTGATGGTTTATTTTTCCTTATATTACAGATCACATACAGACATATTTGTACCATCCATCAGTATTATAGGTGAATTCATTATAGAAGTTTGAAAATTAAACTGGACTCACATTAATGGTAGAGTTGAATGTAAAGTCCTTGCAGTCACATCCAAGAAGCAATGCATAAGGTTACGTTGCTCATGGGAAAGGACTGAAAGTTGGCAATATTTAACTGCATCCTGTCTTTTATGGAATTATTTGCGAGCTCACATTCCTCTGCTGCAATCTGACAAGTATGCACTGGTGTGTTTAGAAATTCTTTGCTTACTCTTATTGTATTCTTGGCATGCAACTTGGTGTTTATATAGGAGTGTTTTTAATTTTTTCTTTGTTGTTTATATTATTTGCATTCCTGGTCACTTTTGATACAGCAGGTTATAACTGTAAAATGAAAACTAAATTGTTATATATACACTAAAGAAAAAGAAGAAGAAGAAAAAAATAATGATGGGTTATAATTTCATCAGCATCATTTTTCATCATACTTTATTCAGCAGACTGGTACATGGTTACTGCAATTGCTGATGGTACTATACATTTGGCATAGGAATCTTTGTTTTATAAGGAACATGATATGCTGAGCATATCAGCATCATGTACATGGAGCTAGACCAGAATTAGTGATAATGGTCTTAACCCTTTCACCATTATGATAGTTTTTTAAGAGTTTGTTTTTCTTAAATAGCTCAGCTGTTTATTTGAGAGAGCCATTATTTTATCTGAGGATATTGAGATAAACCCAAACTATTGGTGGAATTGAAGTGACTGCTTGATAAGATTTTAAAAAATATTTTATAACATTGTTGCAGTAGATAAAGGTACAGCATATCAGTATTTCTCTTTGTTATTAAGTTTTGAAATCCTGTTGTGAACATACACAATGTAAATTGAACATTTCAGAAGAAATCCAGCTTTTATGTAGCCACTTGCATCAAAGAATATGTGTTTTGAATAATTTTTTATTTTTCTACTGTTATTACTTCTTAAATGATGCCTAAACCTAATGATAACCAAATGCCCTGACAGAACATGAAGGACAACTGACTCCACCGCCTGGAAGGGTCTCGGAAGCCACCAGTCCGTCCCAGCCACCTGTCAGTCTTAGTGCCAACGCTTTGGGTCGCCTCCCTCCATTCGAGGAGCCCACCCCCAATGCCTATCTACTCGTCTACAATGGCCGGCGATGTGTGGGGCCAGTGGTTTGCTTGCTGCATCACGCAACAGCCACAGGTAAATAGAGCACTGGCCACTAGGTATAATTTGGAAATTAGTGTTTGATTATCATTGAAGTTTAGGCTGATTTCCTCAAATTGTCCATCAGAAGATTTCTTTACATAACTTGTGTTAAGGTTGTAGCTCTGGTTTATCTAACCAAACAATTCTAATTCAAAATTGAGTTGCCAAGATATTAGATGTGTCATTAATATTGAATGTGTTGGTTTCATAAAGTAGTAGTATTCTTTATGAATTTCATCGCTTTCCTATTCTGAAATTCTAGATAGCCATTCAGTGCTTTGCCAACCAATCAATATATAGTATTGTAAAGATATGGGTCATCTTAGGTGGCAGGGACAAATTTTGGGTCACTTCAAAGAGGTTAAGAACCTGTGTTCTAGATATTTGATGGCAATAACTAAATAATTTACAATGAAGGGGAGGGTTAAAATGTTCATATGTAAAAAGTATATATACACATCAACATTTATGCCCTCAGCCCATAGGTTGGTAAGATTAATCCAGAATTTATCTACCCATTTTTTTTTCTTTACTTTTCTATAGAAGAAATGTGCTTTTATTGCAGTGTAATGTGAATTAGGTTGTGCTGCTCAATAAATTAGTTATTTTAGAGCTTAAGAAATTATGCCTTTCTAATTCAGCTGGATATCATTCAAAGGAATAATAGTTGCAGTGTTTGGTATCATTGCTATTTTTCATAATTTCAAAATTTGATAATAAATTGAGCTTTGCTTCATTCTGAGATGCTTTCTTATGATTGATGTACCCATGATGTATTGAGGTCATGTCTGATTTCATGATTTGTATTGTGTCATCTAAACATTTATAATATAGAAAGAATTAAATGATAAAATGGGATTGATAATCCAGAGGTTGATAATGCATGGGTAATAAGTATTACTTGTAGACTTATACCATACATTATTTATTCCAGCGTCGACGTCGACGCATTGATCGTACCATGATTGGGGAGCCAATGAATTTTGTGCACACTGGCCACATTGGCTCAGGTGACGTGCAAATGGGGAACAACCAGCTGGTGCAACTGCAGACGCAAATGAAGAGCAAAGGAGGCTATGAACAAGCCCTGCCGCACAATCATATGTTGACGGTTGTGCCAGTGCAGAGATCATAGGTGTGTGTTTATACATCATTTGGTTGGGCTGTAAAGTTTGGTAGTTTTGTTATTATAGAATTACTTTAGTTTTTTGCTAGATGCTTTTTACTGTATCTCTTTTTCAGCAGTTTAGTTTATTTAATAATGTTTTAGAAATGTTGTTCTGCATTTATTGCCTCAGATCTTGAATTGAAAGTAATATTTTGGATTATTTGAGACATTTGCATGATATGATAATGCTGCATAACAGTGTGGTCCTCTCAGCTGTAATAAATTGTTCTCATTTTCGTGGCATCTTGTAAGTACCACTAATGGAGAAACGGTAGAGAAAGGTGACTTTTTAGCTCATTGTGGGATGAATTGATAACTTTTTTGATGGGTTGATTATTTAGTTTCAAATTCCTTTTTTTTTTCCCTTCTGTAGCTTCATGTTATATTTAGCAGTGCAGCTTTTCTTTCATATATACAGAGAAGTTGAATAACTAACATCTTTATACTTCAATTTCTGATGGCAAATGAATAATAGAAAATAAGCTTAGCAGAACAGACAAATATACGAAAAAGAAACATAAATAACACTGTTTGTGCTTATGTGCAAGAAAACTATCTTGCACATAAGTACACAGATGAAACCATAAAAGGTGGGAAAGTCCCTAGGAAACAGCAACTGTATTTGCCTGTGTGATGCATTTCTATTACATCCTGGTCTGGCATTCCGTGTCAGGTACAAGAGGATGCTGAATCATCATGGGTGATGCAGCTTGGGGCACATGCTACTGAGTCATGAGGGTGATGATGACATGAATATGATAGGGATTCTTGAGAAGGGAACAGTGGAGTCACAGTGAAGAAGGTGGACCGAAACAGTTCAGGTTTCCTCAAATTCTATAGAATATTGTCATCCTAAGCCTCATAGATATAGCTGTTATCTTATATTGCCTCTATAGTTTTTATTAGTGTTGGTAGTAGTAGTAGTAGTAGTAGTGTAGTCGTATTAGTAGAGTATAGTAGTATTAGTATAGGAGTATAGTAGTAGTAGTAGTAGTAGTAGTTGTTTGTTGGTGTTGTTGTTATTGTTGTTATTATTATTTTTGAATTATTTTTATTAATATTATTATTATTATTATTATTATCATTATCATCGTTATCATTACTTTTTTATTGTTATTATAATTATTATAATTATAATAATGATAATAATGATAATAATAATAATAATAATAATAGTAATAATGATAAAGTATTAGTATTAGTAGTAGCAGTAGTACTATTATTTTTATTATTAGTGGTAATAGTAGTAGTACTATTATTATCATCATCAACCTCATCATCATCATTTTTTTTTTTTTTTATTGTTATAATTTATTAATGTTACTATTATTATTACTGTTATTATGATGATGATAATACATTCAGAGAATTTGTATTCTATACTTAGTATATGCATTCACTTGCCAGAAGAGGCACCATGAAATGCATTTGTATATGTAGCTCGAATCTGCCGTCATGAGTGAAGGCTAGGGTGAGGGAAAAGATTTGCTATGAGTGCACGAATGTCGAGTGTAAGATGCGTAAGCCGTGACTGGAAGAGCACAGGTTACAGAACGTATGCCATTTCCATGCTCCACATCGTTTTCCTGGCTGCTAAGACAAGTGGTGTAGGTTGTATTACAGAAAATTAAAAGTTACAAAAAAACAAGATGTAGGACACAAATAACCTAATGGTACTTTTTTTTTTTTTCTTGCTCTGAGTTATTTACATAGTGAGATGATATGGAGTCCGTGCAAGGAAATTTACCCTCTGGATAAAACAAATCAAAAGACAAATATTGACTTTGAGAAATGGGAAATAAGCTAAAAAAATAAAAAAATAAAAAATAAAAAATGATAATAATAATAATTTACCTAAAGGAGAGGCACAGTCTCTCGTCACTGCTTATGAGTGTTCATGCATGCCCGTCCTATGTGTTGCACGGCTGGGATATTGGCTACTTACGTAACCTGTGTGTATTTTCTCAACTGTGATTTCCGTGATGCAACTGTATCCAACGGGTTGATACAATAGCGGGTCAATAGAATAATCAAATGAAAATTGCCCTCTTTCAATACTTTAGACAGAAGTAGGGAAAAATGTAAATACACAATAGTTGTTTACACATATTTTAGATGTATTGTGAGACAGCCTTTTTTGCTATGCATCAGGATGTACGATGGTTTGTGATGGAATGTAATCATTGAGAATAGCTTAAGACAAACTCACTCCCAAGCCCATTGATATCACTGAGGGGCATAAGAGGGGGGTTAAGGCACAATGTTGGGGATCATCCCTCAGCTCTCGGATCAACCAATTTTGCTTTGTCTCTTCTCCTGCTTTCCTTTTATTACTTTTCTCCAATCCCTTCCGTCCAGTTCTGCTAAAAGGGTAAAAGATTTGCTTTGTGTCAGCCTTGAATGGCCTCGGGGAGCCATGGGTACAGTATTCCTTTGGTTGATCATATACCCCTCATGGGGATCCTAAGTGGTAAACTGTTTCTTTTCCCGACATATTTCATGCTCTCCATGGCCAATAATAAATATTCTGTGCACTTATCAGGGGCATTAAGATTTGCCCCTTGATCAGCTAGTCAGTGTGAATTGACTTTTCTGGTTTCCCAACCCTGGCCTTTGATTATTTCACTGACCACTGCTACTACTACCAACGTCTCAGTGCTTGCTGTTAACTTGATCCATTTCAAATCGTCCACCTAGGCTATGAATCAACCTTTAAAATACATCCCTTCTTGTCTCCCATCCTCCATTCTATCTCCTTCTCTTGCACATTCTTCTCCATTTTCTACTCTCTCTCCCCTTATTACTACTCTTCATTCTTATTGTCCTCCTCCACACAATACTACTCCACTCTACACCACTCTTGCTTCTGCCTGCCCTTCTTCTCACTTAACCAGTTGCATCAGGTAATCTAAATGTTCCACCCTGTCTTCTACCACATTCTCTCCTACACCTACCTCTTCCTATATTCCTTGGACAACTGTCTTCTCTTCTCCTCATAAGAAAACCTTTGTTTCTTTGATCCCTCCAGAAACTCTTGAGGACATCCAAAACTTCCTAAACATGCTCTTCTCTCTCATCCACTCTCCAAACTCTCTACTACCATTCTCTTTACTTGCAAAGTGTTTGCCATTATCCATCCTCCTCCTCCTCATGTTCCCCCTATCTTTCTCCCTACCACTCTCTCCCACCACACTCCATCCTCCCCTTCTCCATGTGTACCATCCCCTGGATGCTTATGAGACTCCCTTTTCCCACAACAGTGTCCTCCTGATCCTTCCCCTCCTGAAGTTCTTTCATGTTACTTCATCTACTTCCCCTGTTCCCTGATCCATCCTGGGCGGAGGATCCATTCCAAATCATCTACCCAGACCATTACTCAATCTTCAGAATACACCCCTTTCTCTCTCCCATCATTCTCTACTCCATCTCCTTCTGCACAGTCTTCATTTTCTACCCCTTCCTCCCCTATTACTACTTTTCACCCTTATTGTGCTCCTCCTAGCAGTACTATCTCATTCCACACCACTCTTTCTGTCCTCATTCTTCTACTACTTCCACCTCTATAAACCTTTTGGGTATTCTTTTTAGCCCAGCCAAGTGGGATTAGTTCTTTGTGATTCCCCCTACAGCCTCTTACTCTGACAATACCCTCCTCTTCCAATAATGTCTCCAAAAACAAGTACGCAAAGTTTCCTTCTTCAGCTGTTCTAATTGCTCACACCTACTGACAGTTCTATCCGAAGTTCATGTATTATCCACCCTGACTGAACTCACTGACAAACTTATTCCCTGCAAGTGTTACTCCTCAATACTTTTTACTGTATCTGTTTCCATCTCCCTTGCTTGATTGCCCTGTATACAACAAAGATTCATCAGATTGTGAAATTGACGCGCTTGCCTGCCTCATTGACTATGATGCAGTATCATAGTGCTACACTATTCCCCCCAGAGGCCATTGTAAGGCCTATACCAGTATGCCAAGATTAGCTTCTGTAAGGATGATCTCCCTCATGAAGTTTATATTAGTGTACTGTCTCATTTCTTGTTTATTTACTTGATGGTTGTGATTTGAGAATTTAGTGACTGATTTGTGAAGCAAGATTTTTTTTTACATGGCTTTTATTTTGAATAGGACACCTAGTGGTGAGACCTCAGTTGTATTGACAATTTATACATTTGCAGGCTTATATTGTTTAACAAAGAATTTGTTGGATGTTCAATCCCCCTAAAACCGCATTCCATCCAGATTGTTTGTCCGCCACAGTTGCAAAAGAGTCATAATATTTCTAGTTTCACTATGACAAATATTTACAGTGTTCAATTTTATCCAGCATAAACTGTATATATATTTCATTGCCACATCTCAATTATGAATTTCAGCAGTGTGGATGAAAGAAATTTCACAGAAATCTCTTGCATATGAAGAGAAGTGGGTATATTTTGTCCCTTAACCCCCTAGCGACAGTATATTTATAGGCCAAAAATAATATTTTCGGGGTGGCTTCAAATTTGGTGTGCATGCGAGTCCGGCAACCTGCTCGCGCTCTGGCCACCATGGGCAGCAAAATCAGAGCGCGAGCTTTGATCTGGCGAAGCACCAGCGGGACACCCGGAAATGTTTACTTTTCCAGGTGTCTCATATGTGGGACACCTGTCGTAAGTGAGTTAATATGTAAATAAAGCATACATATAATTATTATTATATTGTGTAAAATATAAAAGTGTATTTATATGTATTCATGAATATCTTGATGCATTGTTAGGAGGTAACTGTAATACATAATAGTATGCAGTGTGATTAACTCAGGCAAAGGGGTATTGGGGGTGCTAGGATGGGTACAGCTAAAGTGATTGGGCCAAGCAGTACCAAATATGTTGCTGATCAGTAGATGTATATTATTCAAGTGAAAGAGTTGCTGGAAAAAATTCTGCCAGATTTGGACAGGATTTCTAAGATTCTGATGAGTGGGAATATTGCCATAACCATAAGAAATAGAACTTTAGGAGTTGAAAACATCCAAAGTTTTGTGGGTTCATGCACTGTCCACTTAGGTTTTGATTTCCTTCCCAAATAATGTAATGAATAAGGTTAAAAGATAAGCTTATTAATGAGCTCCAAGTGCTTGTGGAGCTTTTTGTATGTAAACAAAAATAATAAAGTACACCATAGTGTATGTCCGGCATCATTATATAATTATTTGTTTCTAAAACATATCCACTTTTAAGAGAGAGAAGTATGAGTATATGTTTCTAAATGATTGTTATATAATCATAATTAATATTTGTAATTTGCCTCCCCCACAGAGAATGTACACCTAGAGGATGCATTTGCCGGGTTCTTCCAAGCTATCCTGATACCATCTCGTACTCCATGCTGGTGTCTGCCAATTCAGTGCTGGAGTGGTTATTTTAAGTGTTAAGCAGAGGGTGGAAGACACAGATCTTGCCATATAGGAGGTCTTAGTATGTGCTACGTCTCATGTCCATGGTGCTCCTTTTATTCAGGTCTTTACCTTTCTCCAGGTGTCAGTGTCATGCGTATGATGATGAGTATGTACCAGAGTGGTAGGACCTGTTGGTAACCAATACTTCCAACTGCATTTACTACAGTTTTGAGTGTAAGGCTTCTGATGATGGCACTGCATTTTTTATAACCTTGTAGATTGTCAATTTTGTAAACAGTGCATTTATTTCCTGTTAAAAGTCCTTTCATAGAACCTCATGCTCAAATTTTTGGATGAATATATTAAATGTCAAGAGATGTGATGTTGAGTGTTGTTAGGAGAGAACACGTCAGTAGAGGTACAAAAACTGTTATTTAATAAATTGTGGTCCATTGTAAATGGACTGTATGCACAATCCCTATCTGCACAAGTGAAAAACTTAGAATTTTAAAATTTTCTTTTAAAATATCATTTTTAAAATCTCTCTATTCCCCATTCCTGTACATGCAGTGAGACCTTCTAGAAAATCATGGCACAAGATTTTACCGAAATTTAATTTTAGTGCTCGTTAGATTCTCATACCATAAATTGATTTAAGACGTTCATTATTTCTGCTGCATCGTTTAAAACCCTACTTTGCTAATGTCTTTCTTTGGAGTCTGTCATATGTTATGTAACTCCACCTACTTTAGTCTTCTGTGGGCAATTACATTGGTTTTTTATATAAAGCTTTGGGGCTTCACATTAAGGAGATGGTATTATTTAGTTGCTAAGGGAGGGCACTGTTTAATGATATTTTTTGTACAAATAGTGAATGAATGTGAGAATGCAAGTAGCATTCATTTAATTTTTTTTTTTTTTTTTTTCAATTTCTTTTTATTTTTATTTTTTTCTCTCTCAAAAGGAAAGTACTGTATTTGTTCACATTTGACTTTGCGGTGCATTTAACACCAAGATCTTGAAACTCTTAAGTAAGGGTGCGGGAGGCTTGTCTTTTGTGCTCTCTTGTTTTCAATATATATATTTTTAGAGCGAATCTGCTGTTTCTGAACTTATAGTGCAAGCTGAGAGATCTGTCGTATGTATTATAAAATTCTAACCCCATATTTTAATGGCAAGATGAATGTTTAACATAGAAGGAAGGCAAAGAACTATTGCCATATATTTCTACAATGGAGAAATGAAAGAAAATGGTGATAATATAGGAAATATGCCAAATATGTATAGATTTTACACGCAATATTTTGATAAGGGACAAGTCCGATGAAAGATTAATTAATTTTTGTCATTTTGTATTCCGTATTTGTTTGTGGTGCTCCCGTGTCTTTCCGTACTGATATTTCCTGAATCTCATCCCCTCCAGCATTGCAGTTTTAAGGCTGTACAAAGCGATTTAAGAAGAAGAAAAAATATGACTGGGTCGGCTGTGTTACGCCCTGAATCGTGGAGATCTGTTAATTCTTTAATTTAATAATTTACGCATTATTATTGGTGATGTATTTAATTTGATTAATTGCATTTTGTAGTTATTTTGATTACCATCATTATTGTTATTATTATTATACTAGTACTGTTGATATTTTAATGTCATTGCTGTTATTTTATTATCATTTTCTTTATTGATATTATGATCTATATTATTATTATTATTATGTGATTATGATTATCATTATTAATATTGGCCTTATGACTTATTATATTTTGGTCACTTCGGGACTGGCACTAAGAGAATATCATAGGTGCAAATCTCTCAGGTAGTTGATTTCTAATAAAAAAGAGTTTTTGATAGGAGGTGCCATGAATCTTAAACCAGTCCCAGATCTTGTTTCACTTCTATTTTTGGTTATGATCATTATTTATATTATTTTTGTTATTCCTTATACAGCGTAATAGGCAGGTTAGAAGTATGGTTTACAGTTTCTACTAAGCATTCCAAACTGCCTGTAGTTAATGTTATTACGATCATATTTTTTGCAGTAATTTTTTTTATGTCAGCCAATTTTTAATTTTCTTTCCTTTTTATACATGCATAAAACATCTGTAATGACAACAAATCCTGTGTAAATACTTCAATACCTGTGGAACCAAACCTTAAAGCCCGAAGAGATTCCCCCACCCCCCATGACCCCCTCCGTCACTGTCATGACCTTGTAGCCTTAACCTGTGCCTTGTGTGACCCAGTTCTATGTGATCAGTGTACTCAAGCCTCAACCGGGGACCAGGAGAGTGTGCCCCAACATTTTCCAGTTTTTAATAACCTTTTTTTTTCCCCCCACACATACCTTTTTACATACAAGTAACTTTTTTTTTTAAGGGAAACAAACTGGAGATCTGTTTTTCTCTATTCTTTTTCCTTCTTTATCGCTTTATCCATGAAGTAAAAACAAAAACTCAAAACAGTAACCAAAACAATAAAAACCTTTGTACATTGATTTTCACTCTATTCATTTTTTTTTTCTTTTTACAGTGTAAGTATTGTGTACTTTCACACACCATAGCACTGATTGCATCATGACATTCTCATACTTCTGTGACTCCCATTGGTAGACCCAATTCAGTTACCCATGAACTCGGTAGGGAGAATTCAAAACTAACACAATTCACAGTCCATAGTCTGTGACAATGTGAATGTCCCTAGAGATATCTATTCGTTTTTTAATGATGACCAGTGTCTTATTTAATTAGGCTTTTTATGTCCCATGTTGAAATAAAGAAATATATATTTAACAGATGTTCATGTTGTAGGTAGTATGTTAAGCAGTTACTGTTTCATGTTTGTTCATAGAACCTTGTTTTGTGAAATTCAATCCCAAAAACTATAAGAATTTTAATGTATTTGTAGTCAAGTATTTATCTACCCTATTGTGAATGGTACTCCCATTAGACGTTAAATAAATAGTAAGTATTGAAAATTCTATCCAAATTGGATTGATTTTATTGAGTCCTTAAAAGGATTTTTCTTTTAGTAAATTAGAGCTATTGCAAGTATGAAACAAAGGTACTTAAAATATTGTTCATTTCTTTATTCAGGTTAGATCAATAGAAGTCTCAATTCATATTTTGTTACGGTTGAGCTGGTTATTTATGCAGTTAGGTTTAGAAAAAAAAAAGTTTATATAAGCTGGTATTAACTTGCATAGCTTCTCGCCACAGAAAAGGAATGTGATTTTAGATATTCAGTGATCTTTATTTTTATCCAATTTTGTAATTGCATTAACACAAATGTTACACTAGAAGACCATATAAATATATATTTTAACTACTACTACCACTTCTACTCATGTTGGTATCAGACTAGAGAATTAAGTTTGATCCATGACACGGTATATTTGAGGAGTGCATAGTTACAAGCGAAGAATGAATTGGGGTTTTCAGTGATGACAATGAATGAAGCTCATAGTGTTATTTTTATTTTTATCAACGCTTATGTTTTTCATTCAGCTCCATATTTTTGGAATCTGCCACATATTGCCATTATTTTAACTCTTAGGGATTTCACTGTTCATATTTATGTAAAGCAAAGATTACTTAATAAAATGCTGAAATTATCAGTTTTTCTCTATTAGCCTCTTTTTCTATTTTGTACTGTGTATGTGTGAGTTCATGAGAATGGGTGAGTGAGTAAGGATTTAGTTGAGTGAACTTATATTCAATAATAACCATCGATGTCCATCAGTTTATACAAATGTGAACACCTGCACACAATATTCAAAAGGCATTGTGTTATGTGCACAGAATATTGTTGGTGACTTTTTGGGATGTCACCTAGTCTTTTATCTCCATGACGTAAACTTGCTTTGTTATAGAGGCATACAGGGGCAAACAGAAAGTATCATATTTTACTATTTATTTGTTTACTTATTTCATGCCAAGGGTTCTATGAATTTAACTACTCCACCAAAGATAATGGATGAGGTTACAGGGACTAGAATTTTTTTTTTGTTTATTATAATTTATATAGATCCAGTTAACAGAATGTGCACCAAACAGTTATCAAGGGTGTATTTATTTTTATGTCTAATAATTTGATAACCAGGAGTGATAGAAGTCAGCCACACCGTGTAGATCAGCTTACTCTAGCTAACCCTGATAGATATAAGCCTAGATATTGATGTCATTAATATAACAATACAACAAACTCCATGGAAGTTTATTGTCTTAATAATTCGAAATAATGATCTCATGTTACCATTTGTAAACTAAAAGTGCAAAAAGTTCTAAATGAAAGAGGAATTAATGATCTTGGAATATCTAGAAAAGTTTAATTTATTTCGCCTGTAATGAAAATGTCCTACCAAAGCTGTTGAGGTTTAATATCAATATAAAGAGAGAGATGTCAGACTATAACCATGGTCAGTATTCCTTCAAAGAAGACAAACGAATAACCTCATTATTGGCCAAATAGATCGCCAGACGCCTTGAATATTTCGGCCTACAAAGGGTAAGCCTCTTGTCTAATGAACAAGCATTTACAGCGATGCACAAAGATACAAAGCCATGGGTAAATTGCGTTTGCCCAAGAAGTCAAAAGTGTAGTCCACTTAATAGGAAAAAGTTTTGTGACAAAGGTTCAGAGATCCTCTCATTGTTTTGCCCCCACTCCTTCATGCAAACACACTTTTTTTTCTTAGTCGATATTGCGATAATCACACACATACATGTATGTATATCTATCTATGTAAAGATAGGTAGATATATATGTGCGTGTGTGTGTGTGGTGTACACACATATATGTATATATATATATATATATATATATATATATATATATATATATATATATATATATATATATATATTATATATATATATATATATATATTATATATATATATTATATATATATATATATATATTATATATATATATATATATATATATATATATATATATATATATATATATATATATATATATATATATATATATATATATATATATATATATACGTGTTTCATCTCTTTGCATTTGGATTTTCAAATAGCGTATATGCTGTAATTATGGTTACTACCAGTATCATCAGCGGCAAAATATTCATCGTTACTATTGTCATTATCACTCTTATTTCAGTGACATTACTCTCCCTCTGTAATGCTTGAATAATCATAGCCATTAATATTGGTATCATTGTAAAAGGAATCGGGTGACAAAAATACAAAAGAAATTATGTAAAGCACTTTATTGAACAAATAAGAAACTTTGGGTTCAGTTTACACCGAGATCAGGCGGGAGACGCGACCATCACTCCGCCACAGGGAAGTTCGGGGCAAGAAACACGCGACTTTCATTCCTTTTTTCACAGAAGGGGCGATCCGTCTGAGTTATGGTCGATTTCAACGTTTTTTTTTTTTGTCCCTTCTCTCGTTTTCTCTTGCATTCATTCGTTGTTCTTTCTCTCTTGTTCTTTCCTGATTCATTCTCTCTCTCTCTCTCTCTCTCTCTCTCTCTCTCTCTCTCTCTCTCTCTCTCTCTCTCTCTCTCTCTCTCTCTCTCTCTCTCTCTCTCTCTCTCTCTCTCTCTCTCTCATTCCCCCAATCAGACCCTTTTTTTCCCTTGACAGCTCCAAAAAACAGGTAACATAGGTTGCATTACTGACATGTTTGTAATGACTGAACGACTCAGAGCAGCAGAGCTCCGCATTTTAGAGGCAGTGAGATGTTCGGGATGTAAAACTAAATTACGAAATTGATACAACATTAAAACAAATCTTGAGGTACTGGCATGCACGCCTCTTTCTGAGTTGATCGGCTGATTTATTTATTTATCTTTTAAAATCAGGGTTGTAATTTAGCCTCGCATCCCGTTGTTTTTTTATCATCTATACATAATTAGGTCATAAAATATGAGAACATGAAATATAGTAATCTATGTACAATTAGTTGACTTTGTAGCGAGGATATATAAACAATACTTTGTGAACTACTGAGAGAACATTGGAAATGACTTGTCTGGTGGACGACCCGGATCTAAATCGAAGATGTTAAACAGCTTTAAGAATGTGTCTGTGCGACTCTCAAAAGCTGCCTCTTCGCATGTCAACGGGTACGACTTTAGGGGAAGACGTCTATGTTTCCTACACCACTACGACCTTGGATAAAGCAGCAGTAGTAGTAAAATTGCCAGTCCGGTCGTCGCACCATGACATGGATACATAAATAATGTCATAACTTAATAATCACAAAGGTTGAGCATTAACGATGCCACGTCCAAGGGTAATACCCCCGTTCATGCCCCTGGTAACACCCTGGCTTACATACATACATATATATATATATATATATATATATATATATATATATATATATATTATATTATATAATAATATATATATATATATATATATATATATATATATATATATATATATATATATATATATATATACATATATATGCATACACACATACAAGCATACATATATCTACACACATAAATATATACATAGCATTATGAACTTTATGCAGCAAAGTTCAAAAGAGAGAACATTTACAACGTCTAGCGTATAGGTCGCATTTCATGAGGATATGAATAAAATAAACACTAAAGCTAAATGACTCGGTATCTTCAACTAATCCTACGTAGTGGGCACACTGAGTCAGGTCACGGATTCATGCCTCTGAAAAGGAGTTGAAGAGGCGCTCCTTCAGCAGGAACAGCCTCAACTTTGGTCTCGAGAGTGAGGAGGACCGTTGCAGCACCAAGGGTTCCCCAGGGAGTTCGACGTCAGCTTTGGTCACAAGGCGAGGGAGACCAACCTTCGAGGAGAACCTTTGTACAGCACCAAGGGGTTCCCTGCCAGGTCCATGTCTAGGCCAGTGAATCACTTGCCGGCGTCTTGCTTTGTCTGGCGTCTTCTGGGAGAGGACTTCCGTCAGAAGCGACGGTCTTTGTGAGTCTTGTAAGGCTGTCGGCTGTTGGAGAAACGCGCTCTGCAACAGAGGCGAGGTCTTGTGCAGCGTTATCGGTGCTGGAGGTTATGGTGTCGGTGGCGCCTGTTGAAGACAGGTCTCCTCCTGAGCCTGGGTGCTCTCTGGCTCGGCCGGTGGGCGGTTTGGCGCGGAACTTGTACTTTCTGTACTTGGCGTCGCGCTCAAGGAGGTGGTGGGGGCTGGGTCTTCGCCACCCTGGGCTGGGGCGAGGCCCATTGCGTCAGGAGTCCGACTTCGCTTCCACCACTTTGGGCAGCATGCTCTCACTCTCGGCAGAGGAGCACTCGGTAGAACCCGAGGCAGTGGTGGAGCTCGAATTGGAAGTGGCTGTAGAAGCAGACGAGTTGGAGGTAATGGAGTCTCGCCACGGCTCCCAAGCGAAACCGACCGCACGAAAAAACTTGTTCAGTATCGCCTGCAGCGGAGACTGGGGAGCCGCCCGCTGGTCCTTGCAGGGCAGGACGTAGGGGTCGAGGGCGCGGTCGAAGTAGCCGTCGGGCACGGTGGGCGACGGGGGAATCATCTCGAGCTGGAGGTGCAGCAGTGGGCGTCCGCGCCGGCTGGAGCCTCCGGGGGACTTTCCGGCGCTGAGGGGCAGCCCCAGGAGGCGCCGAACCTCGCGCTGGATCCTCCTGGAGCGGTACAGGTACACGTAGGGCGACACGGCGGAGTTGCTCAGCACGAGGATCATGGCCACGTTGTGCACCACGCCCGGCACCCACAGGGGCTGAAAAGGAGAAAGAAGCACGTCAACTCACGCCATCTCGAACGCACCGCCACCACGCGCAGACACAAACACAAAAAGGCCGTCGTGTTGTGACAGCCCTGACCTAGCAACATCCTGCAGCGCTCCTAACGAGCTTCCTGCTTCCTTCCTCAATCACGGCCAATCCCAGGACATCCTCATTAACTTCCGCGACTTGTCTGGTCAAAGGTCAGGTAACGGTAACCTTTTTTCAAGGCTGGTAACTCTCTTATCGACCGTTTCTTTTTAATTTGTAAAAATTATGCTCCTGAGAAGCTATTACAAAATACCATAATTAACGAAAACCAATAATTTATCGTAAATAACATGAAGTAAATAATTTAGAAGAATAATTCAAGAACTAAAGCCGAGCAACGAGTTATGATAATCTTCCTATTTTCCTCTTCCCTGTTTTCTTTATATATAACAACAACAAAACCCCCCTTGATCTTATGACAAAAGACAATATATTCAAATACAACCATCAAGTGTGTCAGGCACGGTGACACTGCCATTAAAGTCAATGAATATGTGTTCAAGACGCTTTCTCTCTCTCCTTCTCCGTCAATGTCTTCCGAGAATTCTCCCAGTTTATTCCATTAATTTATACACGTGTCTCTATCTTATCTATCTTGTCTCTCTCTTTTATCTTCTTTCCCCCCGTTTCCCAGTTCGTACTTTGGTCTATTCATATATCCAATCCCATATGCAGGTATTTATTTATTTATGCCGTGTGATACTTTTGTTGTCTGCATTATAGGACTTCTCACAGCCTAATGGAAAGGTGACATAGCACTTATCCATCGGTTCTCATGTTTTTTTTCTTTACTTTATTAATCTAATTTGTGATATGGATTTTTATGTGCATTTTCTGCACCTACGCATAAAAGGGAAGCATAATTTTCATTGATAGTCGTAAATCAAGCAAACATACAAAAACAGAATCGGATCTAAATAAAAAACAAACGGAAGAGATCAGAAATAAACGAAGGTTAATGAGAAAACGTTCTCTTAAATCAATAAAAAAAATCTATCAATCTATCTATTCATATATAACCTATTATACGGATGTAAAGACTTGTCAAAAAAGTTATTCAATCTTTCTTCCCCGGCAGAATAAATCAATAAACAAATAAACGGATACAATGAATAAATCAACAAATCAAAAACAACAAACATTCTTTCACCTGCACAAGATAAACAAAATAAATAAAAAAACAAGCAAACAAAAAAGAACCATCGTCTCAACTGCACAAGATAAACAAACTAAATAAAAATAAATGAAAAACAAGTAAACAAAAAAGAACCATCGTCTCAACTGCACAAGATAAACAAACTAAAAAACAAACAAACAAACAAACAAACAAAAAAGAACCATCGTCTCACCTGCACGAGCGGCGTGTGCAAGATGGCGGACGCGTAGTAGGGCATCCAGCACACGAAGAAAAGCACGATCACCACCACCGAGATCTTGGCGGCGCGGGACTCCTCCTTGTGCAAGAAAAGGGACGCGTTGCTGATCCGGTGACGGAGTGTCGTGACGATCTGGGAGGAGGTAGAACGCGTCGAGGGAGTCCTGGATGGCGGGAAAGAGAGAGGCCTGGGTTATGGGGTTTGTTTGTTTTCTATGAGGTGGAGGTTATTATTAACCTGCTTGCAATTGATGCACTGTTATGTTTAAATAACTATATGAAAAATAATGAATGAATACTTTTTGCGTAGACTAAAAATAAAATTTTCACTTTTCACGTTTCGAACAACCACGAAAACGAGCCTTCGACTCACCTGGAAGGAGCTCTCGGGGGGCCGACGGCATCGAGGGTGGCGCCGCAGAGGGAATTCCTGCGCGCCCTCTCGCTGTTCTTGTGCGCCGCGTGGTAGATCCTGACGTAGATCCAGATGAGGAGGTGCATCGGGCCTACGAAGGATACCACCATGTTGATCAGGACGAAGTAGGAGCGGAAGGTCCAGATGTCTCCGTTGGGAGGCATCGATCCGCAAACATTCCTGGTGGAGGAGGGTTCAGCGTTAGTTTTGGACTGATTAGAAAATTCTGATTTGCTAATATATGATTCAATAAAATAATAATAATAATAATGATTATTGATATAGTCCCTTAACCCCAAGACCCTGGCATCCCCTTCGACACCAACCCCAACTGTCCCCTCAGAGGCCCCTCCTCAACCCCCTGAGCCTCGACGCCCTCCGCCCCGCCCCGCAGAACCCCGTCGCACTCACCACGCCCTTCCGGAGAGTTCGCCGAAACCCGCGGCGACGGCGATGAGCGCGGCGAGGACCCAGCCGCCGGCGATCATGGCGACGCTCTTGGGCCGCGTGACCAGCATGTGGTAGTGGAGCGGGTCCGTGATGGCGCAGAACCTGTCGATGGCGATGAGGAGCGTGGCGAAGACGGACGCCGACGCCACCAGCTCCGACACGGCGTCCATGGCGCGGCACAGAGCCATCGACTCCCAGCCGACGTGGAAGGTGTCGGCCACCACCAGGGGCAGCAGGAGCCACGACGCCAGCAGGTTGCACACGGTCAGGCTCATGATGAATCTGGGAAGGGAAGAAGAAAGGGATGTTAAAGAAGTGGCGATAAAAGGAAACAGCAGGAAATAACCGGAATGATGGACGAGAGAGAAAAGGAGTGAAATCAACCCAACAACAAACACGGGCCTAATGAACCTCCTCGACACGGTGGGTCTCGCTCGGAACTTCGCTCATGAATTTTATCCCCATTTCTTTTCGTTTATTATCATCTAATATTTTCGCCAAATGAATTGATTTGCATCTCAAGCTGTCATAAAAACGAGATAAAGAAGGTTTCATCATCAGCTTCTCAGTCATAAAGCTTAATCCCCGGGTGGCCGTGACGAGCGCGGATGGAGGACAGACGGAAACATTACATCAGGCAGACATAGGAGACGCCGCTAATCCCACAATGAATGAATGATGTTGGTCGTCGTCCTGGCTCGCTCGACCCGCGCAGGGAGTGTTGGACCGCTGAAGGTCGCCCCAGGTACGCCCCTCTCCCTCTCTCCCTTCGGCCCCCCTCCCGCGCCCCATACCCCACACCTGTCTGCCTCCTTTTTGGGTATGCCTCAGGACATAGGGTTTGGTAATCGCTATTTCATTCATTTCCCATTTTCGGTGATTATACTCAGTATACGGAAGAGATAATACGCTTACATGAAGAAGAGAACCTCGACCATACGCCTTTTCTCGAAAGTATTACGAGAGAAAGAGAGAGAGGGAGAAAAAGGTGATGAATATTGGTTTGTGAATGTTCCTTTTGTCGGCGGATTAAGAATGCATTAGTTTAAACGCAAGTGATAGCTTCAGCCGACAGACCAATGCTGGGACTGTCAGCTTTCTTACCTGGCCAAGTCCTTACACGTCTGCTGGCGGTACTTACGGTGTGTTCATTTTATTGCCTTGCCTTTACAGCGCTGTCTTCGTGCAACATCGTGTTTACACTGTAATCATTACAATAATCGTAAATCTCTGCTTAACCCCAGTGAAGAAAAAAAAAAAAAACCAGTCATTATGAATATAAACTAAGCCTGCGTTCTCTCTCATAGCAAAGCGCTGGGGGGAACTCGAACGCCGTTTTCGAAAAATCCATTTGGAAAAAAAAGGTTCTTGAGTTCTTGATTAAGATTCGGGAAGCGAAGGAAAAGGCGCACAGGGACCTCGTCTCGGGAGGGTGCGAAGGTAAGGCGTGTTGGCGGCAATTAGAGAAGTATTTGAATGCAAGGATGCGTGGCAGGATGAATAGGAGTGTCACATCAGCGCTTGTTTGGCGGACCTTTGATGGATGCGTCGAAGGCGGGGGAGAGGGGGGGGGTCGGGGGCGGGTCGGGAGAGATCGGTCGAGCACAAAATTATTTCTTTTCGTACCGTACCTTCGGCGCGTCTTAATAGATTAGCTTTTTCTCTTTATATTCTCTCTCTTTCTTTCTCCACCCCCCCTCTCTCTTTCCATCTATTCACATTCGCAAAGACCCCGCCAAATGACCCCAAACCACATAAGACTTCTGCCAAGCCTTTAAAAAACCCGCGTAAACACCACGAAGAGAAGTGCCATCTATTGGAGAAAATAAAAAAATCCTGTCTATGGGGGCACTCGAGGTCTCACACCCCCACGCGCTTCAGCCGGGCGTTTGAAACGATTTTCTTTGTTCTCTTATTTGCATACGATCTTTTCTTATCTTCAGGTGTTGGTTCGGTAATGGTTTTCCGTGGCCTGGATGTGGGTATTCACGACGAGCGTTTCTCTACTGCTGTGGATTGTACCTCGCTGCCATTAAGTGATCAGTCTCCTTGTCATTTGTGCGTCGTCTGTTTTGGCAACCTGTTGTTAATTACAAAAAAAAAAATTCATAATGAAGAAAGGTATTCATAAAGATTCCCCCCAAAGATCATAAATGAGATGAATAATTCACCACGCTTACGATTTCGTAGGCAAGAACAAAAAGTTACTTTAGCCGGAAGGAAAAGAAATGGCGCCTTGATCGTTAATGACAGGGTTGGGTGATGGGCAGTTACACCCCTGTTGATGGACTGACGAATTGATCGTAGGGGGTGGTGGGGGCTAAGAGGGAGGGGAGGTGGTGGGGGCTAAGAGGGAGGGAGGTGGTGGGGGCTAAGAGGGAGGGGAGGTGGTGGTCGAGGGAGCGGGGGTGGCGGGGGCGGGTGGGGAGGAATGGAATGTCGTTTCATATTCCATTTGCTACCGTAGTGTGGACCTGGTAATGAAGGCAGTGAACCCAGAGAGAGAGAGAGAGAGAGAGAGAGAGAGAAGAGAGAGAGAGAGAGAGAGAGAGAGAGAGAGAGAGAGAGAGAGAGAGAGAGAGAGAGAGAGAGAGACAGACAGACAGACAGACAGAGACAGAGAACAGACAGACAGGGGTAGTCGAACAGCCATTCCGTTGATTTACTTCGATGAGTTCCATAGGTCCCAGAGACTTTTTTTTCTATCTTTACTCTCCTTGGACTTCTTCCTCTAGGCCTCTTTCGATAGCCAAGGGCAAGTCGGCCGGAAATGGGGACGTGAGGCGCACATGCCCGTGACCTGCCCACTAACGGGAATCGCTCAAGAAATTGTCGACTTGACAAATCAGAAGAATACGCTGACTAATCACAGGGCAGGGGAGGATGAGGGTGGTGGCGGGGGATCTAATTTCTCCTGGGGGGTGGGAGGGTACGCGTGGGAGGTTTGGGGGGTGGGCTGTCTATTGGGGGCTAGGGTGGCGCTACTACGTAGCGGTCGGAATTGTCGATCTTACTCAGTCACTGCGGTGGGGTCAGCTATGGGGTTGGTGTTCTGTGTTACAACGTCGTTGGGGCTGGGGGGTTATGGCGGGATCTCGATGGGCGCTTGTGGCGTGGTTTCATGGGGAGGGTGCTGGGGTCCACGTATACGTCCGTCGAGGAGTAGGGCTCTATTGGGGTAACCTGGGTCTGGGTCTGTGAGTGGGGTGTGGAAAATCAGGTTGGAGTGGGGTCTATTGGGTGTGGGGTGGTGCAGTGGGGGTGCTCTTGTTATGGGCATCTGAGGGGCGGGATTGGCTACGCGGTTGCAACTGATACCTAATGCCGGGCCTGCGAGGATTTGACTGGATCTATGGGCGTCCAGGCAAGGGTCCGGGGCGGTCCCGTGTTACCGAGGGGTGGGGAGTAGCTTGGCATAGGGCGTGGGTACTATAAATACATGGGCGAGATTGGGACTCGATTTAAGACTTCATCAGATGGGGGTCTCATGCACAAAGATTGGAATAAAGGCAAAGACGAAGCGAACTCGAAGCGAGATTAAAAAAAAAATTATTTAATTAACGACTCTCTCTGCATAAAATTCGTGATAATCACGTTCATGTACTTGCCCTGGCTCGCAAGTACAAGGTAGCGACTGCTGGGATTTGCAGAACATACAAGGGAACTATGGGGAGTGAGATGTTAGAAGGACATGATTCATAAGCAAATAAAATTTGGAGGTTCTCTTTCAACACCTCCAGTTTCTACGATTTTGTTATAGCTATCCTAAGAATACGCTGAGGGTCAATACAGACTATATCTGAATTTCCGATGCGAATGAGTAAATAGAATGGAGAAGATGATAAATGTATTCAAATAATAAATCAATACACATTTTGCGGTACACAGCATCTGTTCTCATATATATAAGTATATGTATAAAATATGGTTTACCTATAAAATAAACTATCTATTCTAATCTTATCTCTAATCTATTACACTATCTATCTATTATTTACGCTATCTATCTATCATCTTATCTAATCCATAATCATTAGAAGTGACCGGAAGTGAGAGTGAGGTTAAAAGCAGTGAGGAGTTACTAAAAGGAGAGAGAGAGAAGACCAAAACAAGCAGATGTATTAGGAGGACCTAAAGAGGACTCCACGAAAGACGGGACAAAGAGAGGGCAGACGATGTAAGGGACGAAATCTACAGGCAAACTCTGCTTTCATGACAAGCCCTCTGACCATTCTCCTCCACACCAAGGCTCTCCCTTTCTCGCTGGCGCCTCAAAGGGTTCACTGTGAAGTACTCTCGCCACCACTCCAAGCACCACCACCCAGTATCCCCCACCGCCTTCCTATTCAAAACAAAAAAAAAAAAAAGAAATACAAAAAAAACAATAAAAATAAATAATCGGAAAATATTTCGTCCTGCTGATTTCTTTCTTCTGCTTCTTCTCTCTGCGTCTTGTCACTCTCTCTCTCTTTCTATCTATTAAATCTATATATCTATCTGTTTTTGTCTGCCGCGTCTTGGAATACACATCCGCCTTCGCAAGAGTATCAACGAATCCCTTATATAGCAGATATTGCAGGTGTCACCGCTCCCCCCGCCGCGAGCCCCAGACCCCCCCCCCCAGCATCCGCGAGATGTGTATCTAACCGGAAGATCGACCCAGCTCCCACAGCTTGATTTTTGGCACCGGGGGGACGAGTGCCAGCTAGCCAGAGGCCTTCCACATCCTGGTAATTTTAAGACAAAACGGTACTCATATGGCAAGACGAGTGGCGCGCGAAGACACTTTCTCGGGAGCTGCTTAATGCACGATAAACAAGAGCTCAACAAAAATCCATATGGATGAAGGACACGCCACTTGAACGCTCCTCGGCGTCCTGTAGGCTTAGCCGCATGGCCTCTCACGCCCCGGCCCTTCCTTTCGCTTCCTCTCCTGCGCTCCTTCGCCGCCTTCGTTTTAGATGATGAGAGTCGTGTTCATCTCGGCGCCACCCGATCATTATGGCGGCCGTGACCACAAACCCGAGCTTTTTATCCCCCGCCCTCCTCCCTGCCTTCGTCTGAATTGGGGTGAAGCCAATTTGAATATACTGTATGCGTAAACATTATGCCTGTAAACATATATTTACACACACACGCGCGCGCGCATATATATACATATACATACACAACTAATATTTATATAGAGAGTACGAGGAGAGATGACAATTATGTAAGTTAACCAGGTGCATCATTATCCTCCTCCTCCCCTCTCTATATCTCCCCCTCTCCCCCAACCCCTC